CTCTCTCCGTTGCCACGGCGATGATGCCACTCCAGCGGGAGACGTATAGTAGGGCCGAGTGGACGGCAGCCTCTGCACTCGCGGCGCGCACTTGTGCAAGGAGCCGCGAGAAGGCTGCGGGTTCAGGGCCCCAGCGACCTCCAAGCTCGACAGCGAAAACCACAAGGCGGCAGCGCGGTGAGCGCGACAGCTCGGGGTTGCGAGCTGAAGAGCGAGGCCGGGTTGGGAATCAGCGCCCGGCCGAGTGACGGGGCTGACGCAGGTGGTATCGACAGCGAGCTGGGGTTGCAAGGCGCATGTTGCGGGCGACCCGTGGATGGAAGCTGTTGGCGCCACGGATGTTGTTGTACCGTGAGAGAGGCCAAACACTGGTCACACTGCAAGAGCTTGCAAGGGGACGCACAGCCGCGAGCCGAGAGAGATGTTTTTGAACGACCGTGAAGCCTGAAGCTTGCCATCGCGTACGTGCATCTGGGTGAACTATCCGCCGCAAGGGCCGCCCTTGATGCGTCCCCGCTTGCCCTTGCCACCGACGAGACGCTCATACTGACCCCACCAAACGACCCCAAACCAGCCAAATGCCGCCTCCATAATGGCTTCCGATTGCTATCAACTTCTCGGCAACATACGCAGGGCCCGGCGGGGAGTTGCCGCCGGGCCGTCTGGATGCACAGCCGAGCATCTTCGTGCTTTGTTTGACGGCGACAGTTGCTCCGATTTGCTTCTCCATGCAGCCGAACTCTTCGCCGCAGGATGTGTGCCGGCGAACGTCGTCAACGGCCTTCATCTCGGGCGGTTGGCTGCGTTGCAAGAGCCGAATGGAGGCATACGTGCCTTTGTCATGGGAGACATCCTCCGTAGCTTGGTATCTCGGACCTTGGCACAACACGCAGTTGATGCCTTCATGGATATGCGTAGCCCATTCCAATATGCGCTCCCCACACGAGCTGGGACCGAAGCGCTCGCACGCGCTTTGGCCGTATCTTGCGAACTATGTGTTGGCGAGAAGTGTAGACCGATTCAGGCACTGACCCCGTAATTCAAGCACAAAGGTCAGGAACTGCATGGACCAGTTCAGGCCCAGTGGATCGGAACAGACCACAACCAAATTCAGGAAACCGAACGCGCCAATTCATGAACCACGAGGGCCAAATTCAGGAACCGTACCTGTCCGGCTGCTGGGTCGGGCCTCGGGATTCGGACTTGGGATTTCGGCTTTCGGGTTTCGGCTTCAGATTTCGGCCCTGGGGTTTGGGCCTCAAGGTTTCGGCTTCGCGGTTTCGTCTTTTAGGGCTCAGGGTTTCGGGCTTAGGGTTGCGGCCTCAGGGCTTTAGGGTTTCGGCCCTGTGTCTGCCGTAGGAATTCGGCCCTAGAGTCCTAGAGTTTCGGCTGCAGGTTTCCTTTCGTTTTTAAGGCTTCGGCCTTATGATATCGGCCTGCGGATTTCGATTGTAAGGTTTCAGGTTCGGCCTTGGGATGTCGGGTCTAGGGATTCTGCCTTGGGGATACCGGTTTTAGGCGTGAGGGTTTGGGGACTAGAATCTTGGCTTCGGCCCTAGGGTTTCGGCCTAAGGGCTTCGGCCTGAGGATTTCGGTTTTAGGGTTTTGGGCCTCGGGATTTCGGGTTTGGGGTTTCTTCCTTGGCGGCTTCAAGGTTTGAGCCTTCGGGTTTTCGGCTCCAGGGTTCAGGGTTTGGTTTCGGACTTGTTGTTGTCGGCTTTCGGGATTCGGGCGTAGGGTTTCGACATGTTTCGACGGCAGAGTTTCTCCGCAGGGTTCGGTTTAAGGGTTTCGGCCGTGGGATTTCGGCTTTAGGGTTTCGGTTTCGGTCTGAAGATTTCGGCGTTTAGGGTTTGCTTTCGGGTTTCGGCCTTGGCGTATTCGGACTTAGGGTTTCGGCCTTAGGATTTCGGCTTTAGGGTTTCTGCCTTGGGATTCCGGCTTTAAGCTTGTTGGTTTGGGGATAGAGATTGAAACACAATGCATGCAAATCGCTTTGTAACTATATTCGAAGACGACATGCAGCGCTTCAGTTCCGGGAGTTTGTCTGAGGCGTTTCATCCTGCGGCTTGGGGCTGATTACCTTCCTCATCTTTCAAGCCAGCGAGACCATGGATCAGCGAGCACACATTACGTGTATTGGAAGGTCGGGACCGTTGCAGGGGTAACAACGCCCGCATGATGGAACGTGCCTACACGCTCGACATCGAACAATCAGTGAAGCAAGATCGCACTCAAAGGTTGGATGGTTAGCCAATGGCAGTTGAAAGCTCTGGCTCAACACACCCCGCTCCGCCGCAAATGCAACTTTCTGGCTCTACACACCCCGCTCCGGCACAAATGCAATGTTGTGGCTCAACACATTCCGCTCCTCCACGAACGCAACTTTGTGCATGGCTCTACACACTCCGCTGTGTATCAACGTGTGGTTAGTACACAGTCTTCGGAGATTCGCACACTTTTCATCTGAGCTTTGTAAACCATTCGCACGTTTACCACATGTACAAGCACATTGCGAGAAACACTTTTTTCACAAATCTCACAAAACACGGCGCCCCACAGAAGCCGCAACCATTTTCAAGAAGGGCGATCTTTACTCAGTGGGCATTGTGTGGGGCTCTGTTGGCTTCAGGCATGATAAGATTGGGTTGTGGCGTCCGGAAGCGAAGGCTGGGCCATGCAAAGGTTTTGGGGGCTACGTGGTCCGAACCACCAGGAAGTGTCAGGTTGAAGCATGTTGTTCAGGGTGCGGATGCCCGGGTTGAGCTAGCAGGCGCCGCCATCGACCTGTTGGAAGCCTGAACATGTGTGCCGGCTCAAGCATTGGAGCAGCCATCGCCGGTAAAGGTTTCAAAACCTGCAATAAAGGACTAGGCTCCGTGCAATCGACAAAGTTACACGAGCCAAGCAGCACATCATAGTGCACATCATCACTTATGAGCAATGAGCAGTGCATGGACCGTGATTGCGGCGACCCTGCTCCGTGGGTGCCCCAGCACACGGTTGTCATTGGTGGGACTGCCACCATCAGTGTCGGCCAGGTTGGTCATGTGGGTACCATCCTGTGGATGATATTGTTGGTGTTTGGACCACGCCACCGAAGCAGGTTCCCAGCAAAGGCCAGGTGGACTGTCAGCCAATTGTCGCTTGAATGAAGTTGTGGCACGGTCTTGTTTGATCGCCGCCAGGACTTCCAGATGGTCCACTGACAGGCGAGTTTGTATCTTTTTCTTGCAGGTTTCGCAGTATCGACCCTTACCGAGCCACTTCATGAGTCAGGCAATGGTGATCTCGGTGCAGCGCTGGCTTGGCCAACGTCATCTCCAGAGCAGCTCGATGCCGAAAATTGGACTTGATGACCAACGGCATGCAACAGCACGTCGCCATGTCCTCGTTGCAGGATCAATATACACATTGGACACAATGCATTCTTTGCAGCGCCTGTCGCTGGGACGACTTCGTGTGGATACGCGCCTGGAGGGCGCAAGGCAAGGTACTAAGTGTTGCACTTTAATTGGGTTCTGATGCCCTAGCCCAACTCGTAAGAAGCGCCATGGTCTCATAGGCGTTGGCAACGTGGATACCCTCAGCAGGTTGAGATTAGTTTGTCGTATCGACCCTTTGACAACGTGCTTCAGACATCACCATCGTACGTACGCCGCTCGTCGGTGCATCGCCTTCGCAGTCGCACACAAGCTGTTGTAAATGCGTGTCTACATCATACCGGTTCAGGCATGAACGGCACGAAGCACGCGCGCACACACACACACACACACACACACACGCACATCCTTGCCGAACGTCGCCGAATTAAATGTACTTGCATGCAAACGTACAGTACATGCGCGCAAGCAAAATACACGCATGTAGAATCAGATGCATACGCACCCATATGAATTCTGGCACGAACCTATTTCCCACTACGAGGAGGCACCGAAGTTAGCATCCACATGTCGGTGTGGCCAGAACTTGCGTTTCCATTGCCGTTGGCTTGCAGCTGCTTGTGTAAGCCTGAGAGTTCCGCGCCATGTTGCGGCTGCTGCTTACGGCATCATTCGCACGAGGTCTGCCAGTACCTCAGCATGTGGCACACCTTCACATACCTTGGTGCACATTGCTATGCATTTGTTCGTTCTTCTAGGCTTGGCTGGCCATGTCCCGGAAACACAACTGCCGACGATGTTCTGGCAGGCGAGTATTGAAGGTTCACGGAAGTGTCAACCGTCCTCAACTTGAATTACCGCTCCTACAGTCCTGCAGTCGTAGTGAGTAGTACAACAACAGCTGCTGCTGCTGCTGCTGCTACTACTACTACTACTACCACTACTACTACTACTACTACTACTACAAGTGCTACTAAGTACTACTAAGTACGACTAAGTACTACTTAGTACTACGAAGTACTACTAAGTACTATTAGATACTACTACTACTACTCCTCCTCCTGCTGCTGCTGCTGCTGCTGCACTACTTACTACTACTGCTACTCCTGCTGCTGCTACTTCGAACACGACGACTACTGCTGCTGCTGCTGCTGCTGCTACTACTACTACTACCACCACCACCACTATTTTTTCTGCAATCTGCGAAGGATTTAATCTGACTGGGAAGCTTGCCGTCGTGACTGGTGGTGACAGTGGCCTTGGATACGCCACGGCGCTTACTCTGGCGAAGCATGGAGCCAAGGCAACACTGCCAGCAGAGATCAGTAGCAGTTCATCGAACTGTATATATGCAGGTTTACATGTATGTGTACATGCACCTGTAAATGTATATAAGTGACGTGTGTCTATATATATACACACACACACATATATATATATACACATGGCATATTATCGTACCGTATGTTTTATATGTATAATTGTATAAGCAAGTGGCTAGGTAGTATACGTAGGTAGATACGTAAATAGGCCGATAGGTACATAAGTATTAAGACAGATAAATGCATAAGACGAGAGTTTATGCACATTGAGGAATGTATAGGTATGGTTTATATGATGTACTGGTGCGTATTTGTGCACACAAGGGGGAAGTCTTCTTTTGGGGAAGGGCGATGCCAACCGCAATCTGCCTTTCCTGCACAGGTTGTCATTGGCAACCACAACATCACCAGAGGCGAGCTTGCGGCTCAGAACATTTCAAAGGCAACTGGAGCCAAGGTGGACGCTCGAATCTGGCTGGCTTGTGTGTGAAACCTCCTCGGACGACGTAAGTATGCTCTGAGACCGAGTTCAAAGCTTTCTTGACCCAGGATGCTCTGCCCCTGAATCTGGGATCTCTGCAATCCGTTCGCTCCTTTGCCCGGAGCTTCTACCAGAAGTATGGCGAGACGCTCAACTTGCTGGTGAACGATGCTGGAATAGGTTCCTGCACATGCTCTTCACCGAGCAATTATTCAACAGACTATATATGCTGACTCACGTGGCCTCTAGCATCAGTCGGTGTCAATGCTCAGATGAGTGCTGTCGCGCGGTCCGTCGCTCAGTGCCACGAGGGCCGCCTTACTCGCAGGTGCCCCCAGCATTTTGAGCCAAGATGGTTTCGAGCTGGTTTTCCAGGTGCTGTGCTCAGATCTAAGTGGTTGACCGGCATTCTGAAAGAGTACGGTGTGCAAATAGTGACGAATGCCCCAGTGATGCAGCACCACTGCACTTGTCAGGTGGACTACTTGGGTCCATTCCTGCTGACAGAGCTGCTGCTCCCGGCACTGCGCCGTGGACGACCTTCCAGGGTGCGTGCCTGCAAAACCCTGGCTTCATGCCGCCCTGCAGTGAAGAGTAATGTGACGATATGTGGCTCAACACTTTGCTCCCTCCCGTCAGGTCGTGAACGTTGCAAGCGGGGCGAGTGAAAATGCCTGTGAAGCAATCGGCCTGCCGCGAGACTGCTTTCATGACTTCTCGCATCTTCCACCACCCGTCGTTTCGAACAAGCCCGTGACGATTCACAGCCGCTCAGGCTGTCGGTGGGTTTGGACTGAAGGCTTCAGCATGTTTCTATTTAGGTGATCTAGAATCCAGAATCAAGCATGCCTTCAAGACTGGCGGTGAGCTGAATAGGCACATACCAGCAGAACGCCTCGAACTACGGCGTCGCCAAGTTCTTGCAGATACAGCATGCGGCTGAGTTGGCAAGAAGGGAGTCAAGCAATGGTGTGGAGGCCAGTCAAGCACTTGTCTTTTGGAGAATCCACAGCTTCAGCTAGAATTCATGTGCAGTATAGTTTCATTCTATGTGCCGGCATTCTCCGCATGGATGTGCCCCGTGGGAGGCCTCTTCACTCACACCTGGCTTCGCCCTGACCTCGTTCACGGAGAAGGTTGACATCCACAGCCCCTTCGTCAAGGTAGGCGGTTGAGCCCAGCCACGCGGTTTGCTTTGCGAGTGCTGCTGATGTTGGGCTTGTCTTAAGTCAAACCTGCTCTTCTGCTGAGAAGCACATGATGCAGCCCGTCATTCGGCCCTTCCATCCGTATCAATACTTCAGTGTCGATGTATGTCTACCTGCAAGCAGACCCTTGGAGGCAGTCGGCCTTCCGGTATGGAACATGACAATCATCTTGAAGCCTTATCAGGATGGGTTCAAGCACACAGTTTGTTGGATGGTTCGTCAAAGACGCACATGCGCACGCGGGCCCCTCATGGTTAAAAGTTGCCCTAGCTTCAAAAGGGATGCGCGTGCTCGCAAACGAGACTCTGCGCAAAAGGCAGCAAAAGATGACAGCACCAAGCCGTTCAACCAACACAGGTGATAAAGTACGTACTGTAGGTGGTAGAACCCTGTGGCAAAAGATGTGCAGCTCAAAGCAGAGTGAATTCGCACATCGGTCTGCTCCGGCTTGAAACATCTTGCCCGGCTGTTGCTCCTCCCTTTTCTGTTGGAGCCTTCGCAGGCGGTCTGCCAGCAGCAGGTGCACCCGCTGCCAGATCTCCCTGCAAATAGCTGCCCCTTCTCTGCCGACGAAGGAGGGGCGTGCAGTTCTGTGACGCTGGGACAGATACACACCAGAAACTTGCTCAGGCGCTGCCGTTATCGCGCATTGTGCAGTGGGCAACATCAGGAGACGGCCCAACGACCCATAGCGCACGTGTTAGTGTAGGGAAATGCCGATCCTGTTTACTAGTTTACACTGTTGCGATATGGCAGTCCCGCAGTGTCCGGGAAGTGAAACATGACAGTTCGATGCCAGCCCGTGGATATGTCCAGTTAGAGCCGTTCTAAAGCCTCCGTCAGGAGTGGAGCTTACTACTCGCGAACCTTTGCCTGCGGCCGGCTTAGTCTTGAGTTGTTGTCTTGCTCTGGCATTGCTGAGTCTCCAAGCCTTGGTCTTCTCAGGTGCGGAGCACCCGGTGACCATGCATGGATTCACGGAGTCCATGCAAGCAGAACTCTACGAAAAGTCCTTGGCCTGGGCGGGCGAAACCCAGCTCGTGGCCAAGGATATCCAGTACGTTTAAGTGTGGCCAGTGCAGGGAACATACACGATAAGCGTCGGAGTGTATGCCAGCGTATGCAAGTAGAGTGTTTTTTGGGATGGTATCAGAAGACAGTTGTTGCTTTACTGAAACTGGTGTTGACCCGTGCACTTGCGGCTCCGCCGACAACAGGTCGAAAGTTCTCACTCCTCTTTCGTTGGAACTTGTTCAACATTCGAGAGTTGCCAGGAGCCCCAACCCTTCAACATTTGGGGAAAGCAAGCCTGCCCTTCAGACATTGAAAGAGTGGAGGCGCTTGCCGGACTTTCTTTACGGCATCTCGGTGGCAGTGTGGGTGGCATTTCGTGGTGAACAAAGATTGCTAAGCCAGCCTCGTTGACACATAGCGGAGGTTTCTGAGTAGCCCTGGGCAAGTGGTTCGTGGAGAGCAAGTGGCATCCAACGGCACTGTTCGCTTGCATGTGGCTTTGCCGTGCCGAGCTTAGAGAGGGCACCAGGGCGAGTGCACGAGCAGAAATCTCTGTTTCATTTCTGACGCTGCTGAGGACAGGAACACGAACGGTGAGCGAGCTTCTCAGCGGTCTGTGCAACACTGCCGCCGTGGTTTCGATGGACGTGCGTGTCAGGCGCCTTCCTCCATGCAACCGAGAATGCATTGCTGGTCGACTTGCAGGCAGATGTTGGCAGTGAGGCTGGCCGCACGATTAGGAAAAGAGGCTTCTCCCTTGCTGCTTGGCCCTGCCATCCCGTGACAAATTCCGGTCCTCGTTGACACCATTTGACACTTGTGGATCAATTTCATTGGCCTTCAGATAGCCTTGACAGTAATTTGTTCCCAGCGACGTGTAGTGTAGTCTGATGCTGTTCTTGTCAGTAGCTTGGTTGTACGCATGTTGAAACCTTTTTGTCCAATTCCTCTTCTCCTGGAAGCCGCCTGGTCCGACTGCTGCGACTAAGCTACTTTTGCTGGCACTACACTACACCTGCGAGGACAAGAACAACCGCCACCGTCAACACCGGACCGTCACCGCGCCACCGCTGTCGCGTTACCGGATACGCCAATGCTCCCATCACCACCACCCACCACCCACCACCACCACCGCCGCC